TTGTGAGGGGCTGAGGGTGACCCTGTGGTGACAATGGGGTCACTTCATGTCCTGTGCCCACCATGAGCTGTTCCTGTTGGCCCTGACAGAGTTGGGAGGGACACGGGGTTAAATGGGAATTAAGGATCGGGAGTTACAGCAATCCCAGCTGCTGCTGTTATTCCCATTTCACCTGTAATACCCCGGATCTGTGAGAGAAAGCCGAGCAGCTCTGAGGATGCTGAACKGGGGGTTCTCCCAGGTCAGGGTTGTGCAGGAAAAGGAGCACCATATTTCTACCCCTAAATAAACAAAAATGTTTAGGTTTGACCTCCAAAAACATCACACCAACATCAAACATCACATCCTTTGATCAGCARACAATAAATCCCTTTTAAGATAACCTCTGTGTGTCAAGAAAGGCTGGATACTCAGTCCCTCTTCCCTTACCATGTTAAGAGGCAAATATGTCTCTTCTCTTATAAATAACTTTAATTTKATGTTCTTGCTTTTGATGTAGGATAAAGCCCGGCCCAAAACAACATGTACAGGATCTGAAAAGATGGAGATGGAGGTTGGAAAACATCCTTGTCCTGGGAATATTGTGCAGCAAAAGGAGGGGAAAAGGAGTCAGGAGAACACAGCAGTCACCACTTCTGCAGAAAGACTGAATTCATCTTATTTTTAAGCCTCTGAGCAGAATAAACCGTTCAGACCAAAGCGTGACGGGGAGAAAGCGCGAAATAACATTTTGAGGATGAAAGTGGAACTTGGAAGGAAAAAAAAAAGACCGTGCAAAGCCAGGTGGCTGCTTGCTGTGAACACTTTATTTATTAATAAACACAACACACTCGAAACATTTGGCTGCTTGACAGAATCCTCAAAAGTCTTGRAAAGGGATCAAAGTTCTGGTTCCTGTCCCTRTCCCTGTCCCTGCCACAGCCCAGRGAATGACGGTGCTTTTAAGGACAATTGCTGTGGAAAACTCCCCTGGAATTGCGGTTCCTGCCTCCCCGTGCCAGCGGGAGGTGGCTTTGTCCCCTGAGGGTGGCGTTGGGGACATTTCGGTGCTGCTGTCTGAGGTGCTGAAGCCGCAGATCCCCCAGCACGGGCTGGGCCTGGCCGAAAGGARCAGCAGGGGCTGGAAAAGCGGCTGGAAAACCGATCTGGCTGGGTTTAAACTGGCCAAAATGGTCTTTATACCAACACAGAGGAAAGGCAGTTGAATTTCAGGGTCAGTTTTCTTCATTGCAATGCTGGAAGTGCTGAGGGTTTGAAAGATGAAATGGAGACACGAAGCGGGCGGTGAAGCTCCCGGCTGGAGGTTTTTGGTGTGCCAGCCCTGTTYGGTGGCTCAGATCTGGGCTGCTGACTCACCGTGCAGCCAATGTGGCGTTTAAAAAGGCAACGCTTGGCAAAACTGGCACAATTCCCTGCTTTTCCCGTTTTCCTGCGGATCRGGAGCTGGGATTCACAGGGCACAGCCGTGGAAAGAGAACAGAGGTGGGTGAGTAAATGTTTAAAGTGATGTTTTCTGCTTCCAGGAGGTGGAAATGTGCAGGTGATTACCTGAGGTGTTAATGATGAGTGACAAGAAGTGCTGGGAGAAATCCCAGCCCTGGAAATAATGAGAGGACTTTCCTTGAACCTGATTTGAATTCCAAATCCCAGCAGCTCTGGGATTTGCTGGCATCATCCTCCACTCAGGGCTGGGGAGAGGCTGCCAGGGGAAGGGAGGAAGTGATTGGTCTCCAGGAATTCCCAGCCATGGAGACAGCACTGCAATGGCACCGTGACGTGAGGGGGCACAGCCAATGGAGCCCAGCTCTGCRAAAACGGGGGGAAAAAAGGGATATTTTTATCCTGGGATGGAACAGTTCAGCTTAGGGGGAAGTGAGGGTGGAGCRGGACCAGGTGGGGAGGGAGGAGCTCAAGGGAAGCTCCCACCCAGAGCTGGTCACAGAGCCATCCATGCACCCAGGATGTTCATTAAGGAGATTTAATCACTTTATTCACTCCCTCACTCTGTTCACTCATTTGTTTAATGCTCAGGGAGCTCAGAATCCCAGAATGGTTTGGGTTGGAAGGACCTTAAAGCCCATCCATTCCCACTCCTGGGACATCTCCCACCATCCCTGGGTGCTCCAACCCCATCCACCATGGCCTTGGACACCTGAGGGGTGAGAATTCCACAACCAATCTGCTCCAGATCCTTTTACAATAAACAATTTCACCCTAATTCTCCCTTTTCTTCATTTTCTTTCTYTCTCTGTTTTTGCCTTTCGCTTCCCTTTTTCTTAAAATTCCAATAAAATAATTTTTATTATTAAAAAAAGCACTAAAACCGTAGGAAAAAAATTGTGAGGGATGGGAATGAGTTTTCTCGATGCAACTGGGACATTTCTGCTGATTTGCCACGAGAGGGACACAGAAGGAAAGCTAAAGGAGCTGGGAAAGAAAGGATCCAAGGAACAGCTCGGGGTGGGATCGTAGCAACGCACATTTCCCTTTTGTTCAGGAATTTCTGGGATCACAGCATTCCCACAGCTCCCTTCATCCCATGGAATCCTAAAAAATCTTCACACAAAAAGGGTTAAGAAACACCAAGAGCTAAAATGGACTTTTTTTCACCCTGATTTCCGTCATTTTCCCTCCGCTTTTTTCCTTTGGAATGTTGGGACAGGGAGAGGTTGGCCTGGCTGGGATTTTGTTCCATCCCGAGCCCCTGGAGCAACAAATCCTGCAGGACTTTGTGGGTTTGTGGAGGTTGGGGAGGTATTTTTGTTTATTCCCAGTGAATTTTCACTAATTAGGGGCTGATCAATCAAATGCCGGGAGGTCCCGGCTCCCATAAAATTCCTGCGTGGAACGAGGGCCCCATAAAATCCTCTGAGGTAAATATTGAATATTGTGGAATTAAAAAGCCTGGTCCTAAAATGCTCCAGATTGGAGGTAATGCAGTGTGGATTTTTAGGGATCTGCAGCTGATTAATCCTTCATGTCAGCAAAGCTTCACTTCCAGCCCTGCTGGGCAGSCTGGGATTGGGATAAAAATGCTGGGAAAAAGGAATATGGGGAGGAAAAACCCCTCTTTTAAAATAAATTTAACTTTAGAGACTTCAGTTCTAAGATATTTCTACAGCAGCAGTTTAACATCACATTGAAATGTCTGTCTGGTACTGGGACACTGACTGGTCTTCTTTATATTTTTATATTTTTATATTTTTATATTTTTACCAAGCCCTTTAATGCCCAGAATACTTGCACATCTCAAAAAGTGTCATTAAATAAATTTTAAATGAGGAATTTCTTTAAGGTGCCAGAATTCTCAGTGCAATGGGAAATGCAAATCCAGCTTTGATTATTTCAGTAGACAAAATTCGCAGAAAAAAGGTTTTATTCCTAATTTTTTTTTTTATTTTATCCTTCAGCAAATTGTGATAAATCTGTTTAATTCTGATTTACCTGCAGATCCAATTGGGGATATATAAATATAAATTGGGGATGTAACTTTGTGAAGGAAAATGAGAAGATTTTGGCATTTCTGCAGGGATTTTGAATGAAGAAGGTTCTTAGAAATTAAAGATGGTGAGTGACATTAAAAGATGCCAGATCATAAAAGATAGCAGACATTAAAAGATARCAGCAGGAGATGAAAGGCAGGAAATGAAATTCAGTGTTATAAACCAGCTCCACTAAGCCAAATGGACAGTAAAAACCCAATAAATTGTAATTTAATATTAAAATAATAATTTAAAATATTGTATTTCCTTCCATCCAAAAATGTGTCAAAACTCCCTCTCCTTGAAAAGAGCTGAAGTTCGTCCTGAACAACAGGACAGGGCCTGGATTTGAGGAATTAACATCAGGAAAAATYCTTTTCATGAACAGAACTTGTGGCTTTTGGTGGGATTTTAACTGCAAAATTACCGTGTGAGGTGATGTGAAGTTAGAGCTCGCTAGGAAAAGGCCAAGAGTTCCTAAAATCTGGAAAAAAAATGGCTGGAATTCCTGAATATATTCAAGGAGATGTGTGGGAGTATCTGTTACCTATTAGAGCTGCCTCTGGAAGGAGCAGAGTTGTTAAAACCCCTCCATTTCCAAAGGGGCATCRGCAGCTCTTGGAAAAAAAAAAAGAATGGGATTTCTCCAAACCAGATGTTGTTGTAGCAGAGCTCAAAAACAAGGCTCGGAGCTCCTGATGGGCTCCAAAGATTGTCCCTGTTTGTTGGGATTGCTGGCAGCTTTCCTGGGCAGATGGAGGTGATTGTGGAGTAATGGAAAATCCAGGCTTCACACGGGGCTGGGATGAGCCTGTGGAGCTGCTGATCCTCGCTTGGACTGGGGAGAAACACAGGAAAATGGGCAATTTTCAGGTTATCCCTGCAAATGGAGGAACGTGGGGGATTTTATCAGCTTGGTTTGGCCTCAGGTTGTTGCTGATCCACAGCAGGTTTTCAATTTTGGGACAGGCAGGGTTAAACTCGACCTTGGGTTTGGATCTGCAAAGAACAAATCACTTAAAATCAGGATTTTTGCAGTCCCACCCTGGCTTTTCTGTGCTTTTCGTGTAAGGGAATAACACATTCCCATTCTCTGTGCAGAAAGTAAATCCTCCCCAGGAAATCCTTCTTTCCTGCTGTGGGACAAGCCTTAATTTGACATTTAACAGTGAAATAATGTAAGTTGGGGTTTGGCTGAATGGCCCAACATGTGCAAGGTGTGTTGGGCCACACAAAGTGGCTCCATGGCTTCCAGGAGGGCTCCAGGACTGRGCATCTCCATCCAAAAAGGCCCTGAAACAGGAAAATTTCATTTTCTGGCCTCCAGCTCTGAAGAATTTTCCTCTCTGCCCTTCAGTTCCTTTTGATGTYAACACAGAATTTGCCAGCTTGGCTTTATCTTTTAATTGCAAATATTCAAAGTTTAGAAAACAAGGAGTCATTTATAAAGTACATATATATAAAGTCATTTATACCTTCACAGCAGCAGCAGCTGCAGGAAAGCCTGCTGATGTTTTATCAAGTTTATCTTTCTTTTTTATGCCCAAACCCCCCCCCAAATTTGGAACTGAGGGAACCCAAAAGCGTTGGGCGTCGCAGTTGTTTTGCCATCATGGAAGCCCTTGCAAGGAGCCTGTGTTTGTCCTGTCTGGGGTGATGGTTTTAGGAGGGGAGAAGCCTGAAGGGGAAGGAATGTTTTGCTTGCAGAATTTGGGGAGGAAGCTGGCCAGGGCTGCAGGCAGGCCATGAATGGCTGCAGTGTAGTTGTGTGACGCCTTCCCAGAARTCAGGAGCTCCTTGGGAACGCACCCAGGCCGCTGGTGGAATGTCACCAAACAGCCTGGGARAAGATCAAGGGGGCTGTGGGCTCCCACATTCCCATATTCCCAAGGGGGAGCGTTCCTGTTCCACCATGGCACCGACACCCCATAGACAGAGGGACCCTTAAACACGTTTTCAGTGGAGGATTTGCCCCTACGTGCTGGGAAGGTTCTCTCTCATCCTGCTGATGTTCAGGAGTGTCYCRTGTGCTCCCTTTGCTCAGGATCATYGCTTTTACAGCCCAAGGAGGGATCCTCCCACCCCAAACTGCTGCTGCTGGGTCCTGTCCCGGCCTCAGATCGTGATGGAAACACCTCAGGCCCTGCCTGGCCCTGCCCCAAGCTGCTCTCAGAGCAAGTGGAGCTCTGCTCTTGGCTTCTCCMCGCGCTGTGCTGTGAGGAGGCAGCGTTCCCAGGGGCCAGGCAGCCAGCTGGACCAGCAACAACCCTGGGAAGGGTCTGGAGAGCCATGGGAACGCCGAGATAAGGAGATTTTCCATGCTGGTCCCTCCAGGCCCCGCAGAGCAGCCATCACCAGCGGTGTCTGTTGGGGTTCACATCCCCACAGATGCTCCCATGAAGCTCCCACAGGTGCTCCCGTGGAAGCAGAGCCTGCTGGAATTCCTGGGTTCTGAGCACAGCCCGTGGCAGTGCTGCAAACCCATCGTGGAGTCTGCAAACAGCAACTCCTGGGGCTGTTTTCACTAAAAACGTCATTGCTGCCCTTGATTTACGAGCAAACAGAAGTTTGCAAACGGCTCCTCCGGCCTGGCCCAGGAATCCATGGGCCTGATGTCATGTGGACAGGGCCCAGAACACGGAATTATTTTTATGTTGTTAGCAAGGGTTGTTGAAAAATGGAAATGTTAAACTGGGTCCTGTGGCCTTTTCTTTTTGGCCATGGGATGGGGGCAGAGCCCGGGGGCTCTGGGGACTGTCCTGGGATGGATGTGTCATGCCAGGCTTGGACAGGACTCTGGGGTTTGAGGCCATCTTCCTGGCTCCAGATGAGAGCAGGGCTTTGCTGGAAGAGGGGATTGCAAAAGGGGAGGTGAGGAAGGTCTGGAGAGCAATAATTTTAAACAGCACTTCGGCAGTGATGTCATTTCAGCTGAAAAATAATGTTCGAGTTTGGGCAACGAGTTCCTCTGGAGCCGGAGGAACCCAGGGCCGGCAGCCAGGATGGGGAGGAACTCCAGAGAAATGGAATAAAGAACCCGTGGAAAGGTCATGATGGAAAACCATGTTGGGATAATCCTGGGGAAAGGTGGATAAATAACCTGGAATTCCCTGTGAGCATGGTGTTCCCAGGAAATGGAGGGGAGGAAGGTGCTGCAGCCCTGGGCAGGGGCTCTGCTCTTCTGTCTGCAGGTCAGAACCAAACCTGGGGAGCTCAGGAACAGCCTGGAGGGTGTTGTGATCCCAGACTGGGATCCCAGAGTGATCCAGAGCTCCTCTCCTGGGATTGAACCCAAATTCAGCTCAAATCTGCATCCACCTCTTGCCTGAGGAGGCTTAAAGGCTGAAACAACCACAGGACATTGTTCCAGTGGATTTGGCAACTTGAAAAACATCAGGAGACATCAAAAATACCCCCAAAAACTGCTTTGTGGGGTTTTTCCTTTCTAGGATGGCTCTTGGGCTGGATTGGAGGCTCCCCCTGGGCCAAACTGTAGGATCAGCCCTTTTCCATGGAGTTTTGAATGAATTCCCACTAATTCAGCCTAAAGAGCTGGAGGCCTGGGCAGCCTCAGRTAAAGCTGCTTGTGCCTTGCACTGWTTCTCTTCTCTTTGTTCCCTGTTCCACTGGAGGCCACCACAAACCTCAGCCGGGGGGAAAACAACAGAAAAAGCAAAGAAAGGGGCACCTGCAGCTCAGAAATGACAAAAAGCTCCTGTTTTAGAGGAGATTTCAGCCTTGGAGCTCCCCAGGAACAGCTTCTCTTCCCAGCTGTGCCTGGGAGCCAGGGAATGAGCTCAGCCTGGGGGATCAGATTTTGCTGAGTGTACAGGGTTAGGCTCRCTCGTTCCTCTTTTCCAGAAGTTCCCCTCTCCAAGCCATGCCTGGATATTTGCTTTTCCTTGGGAAAYGTGGGCCCTCTCAGCCTGCGCCGCCTTCGGTGTCCGGACGCTCGGCTTTGCCAGCAGCAAAGTTGCTTTTTGTCCTTTCCATGCCTCCACCTGAGGCGTGGGGTTCCTGGAATTGTGAGTCTTTTCCTGGAGCTGCGATGGCTTGTGCAGAACACTGAGATGTGGCTGGAATTCAGGGGCAGCTCTCGGAATTGTGGCTCCTGGTGGCCTTTGCTCTGGTGTGGATGTCACACCCAGCGTGCTCTGGCTCCAGGACAGTCCAGGGAAGAGCCTGACCCTGCACTGGCCAAAAGGAAGTGGAATTTTGTGTAAGGAATGCTGCAAAAACGCAGAGGACTGAGCCTCTGCTTTGCATGTGGAATTCAAATTAAAGGAGTCTGGGACCATCACAGTTGGGCCCGTGCAATTTTCAGGTGGGAAGGGTGGTTTAGATGAAGCAAGGCCTGACTCTGGATCTCTCACAGCCCACGRTCCTCACAAATATTGTGGAGAAGGAGCGGATTTGCTCCCCAGGCTGTTTTTCAGCTCTGGGTGGGGTCGGGAGAAGGCACTGCCAGCACTCTCCAGAGCCAGTTCATTCCTGTGAGATTGCTGGGGCTGATCTTTTCTGGAAAGCTCCAGAGGTTTGGATCAGTCTCCAGCCTCCATCCTTCTGGAGAGCTCACCGCCCCTTGTGAGCCTGCACACGCCGTTTTTCCATTCCTCTGGAAGTGACAAAAACCCCAAAACAACCCCACGGCCTGGATGATGCTGAATTTTCCTCTGAGCTCATCAAGGATGTCCAAAGAAGCCCCATTTTGGACGGGGCCAAGAATCTGTAAAGTCTCAAAGTTGAGCAAAAGAAAACTTTGTGTGGGTGAGGAGAGAAGGGGGATGAGGGGAGCTGAAGGGATGGGAGCCAGGAAAGGATGGATTCGGGAGCCAGTGCTTGGCCCAAAAGCCATGAGGGGTGAAAAAAACCCTTGCACRAGTGCAGCTGTTTGTTGGAGCCCCTTTAATGAATTATTTTAATTATTTTAATTCAAGAAGGAGCTGCAGCTCTGGAACATTGCGGGGCTGACAGGGGAGATGCTCCTCCATGGAAAGGTTCCCTACAGGGCTCAGCTGCTCCAGGCTTTTATTTCGGGAAATTCCTCCTTTTCTCRTGTGGAAATCCATCTTTTTATTGGAGGAAATCCCTCTTTGGAGGGAGACAAAGAGCTGCTGCTCCTGASGGTGGTCCTGTCCTTCTCCACGGATTCATTCTGGTCACAGCCTTTCCTTGCTGGAAATTCCTGGAAAACCTTTCCTCAGGGGCAGCAGTGTGGGGAGCTGGCCCTGCAGGGTCWGTCCCAGGATTGTCCCTCCCTGCTCAGCCCCCAGGAGCTGAAATCCTCCCTGCTCAGGGTTTTGGGAGCAGTTCCTGAAATCATCCAGGCAGTTTTGGGGAAGAAAAGTTCCTTCTGCTTTGCTGGAGATCAAAGATCAGCTGCAGGGGGGGACTGGCAGAAAGGATTGGGACCAAGCTCTGCTACAGCATCCCCAGAAGAGGAAGAATTTGATAATAAATCCATTTTCTTATTCAAGATTCTCCTTTTACATGTGGGTAACGGGACTGCTTTGGAGAACACATTGGAAAATTTGCTGGTGCTTCCTTTGTCCTCTRTTCTTTGTRTCCTCCACAAATCTCCTGATTCCASAGAAAAAAGAAACCCCACCTGTCCTGGAGAATTTTCATTGTAGCTCAGAGAGGCTTTTCCCCTTATCTTCCTATATAAGAAAAAGCCCTTTTTCTGCACACAAATGTTAAATGGCTCCTATTAAAACCGAATTTAAGTGAATTTTATCTCTTCCCGAGACAAGACAGAGAATATTACATCCAACAATCAATTTATTTCCCCCCTTTTCCCTGCCCCGCTCTGCAATTTGRGTTCAAGAAGGGAATTCAGCCCTTCCAGCATCGATCCTTTCTTCCTCCCCTATAACTGCAATCTCATTTCCAGCAGGACAGGGCTGCTGCCTCCTGCCAAGAACTGGCTGCAAAAGCGTTTGTACAGAGCACCTCTTTGATCAGCGCTGTCCTGAAAAGACCTGATCGCTGCCTTTGCCTCTTTCCAGCTGCTGAATTGTCCCGGATATCTTCCTGCTGGAGCTGCTGAGGGGTTTTAACGGAAAAGAGGGAAAATTGGGAAAATTGGGAAAATTGGGGAGGGAAACGCAGCCCCTGTGGCAGTCGGGGAGAGGGGAAGAGATGAGAGAAATGCCATTAATCTGGAGTCAACAAGAAATTAAAAGCTGCTTGTTGCTGGGTGTGTTCAGGAGACCTGGGCAGGTTTTGCTCAATAAAACCCCTGCTCTGTGGGCAGTTCTATGGGCACCAGCTGCTGTCCCTCGCTGAGGATCAGAACGGGCTGGAAATGCCCAATTCCCTCGGGATGTGCCAGCTCTGCCTCCAGAGGGATGGGGGCTCCGTTCTTGGCTGATGGGACAAACAAGGTTCCCCCTGGAGTCCCAAACGGGGAGTGTGACCGCAGCCATCGATGGTCACATCATTTAGGGGAAAAGGGAAAGCCAGGCTGCTCGGAGGAGGGTTTGTTCCTAAGCCCTGCCATCCCGAGGAGTTTTGGGAACACGGAGTGTGGAGCTGTGTTATTGTCATTATGGCTCTGGGAGGTGTTTTTCAGGAGCAAAATCACAAAAAAAAAAAAAAAAAAAAGGCAGCCCACAGCCAAAGGACTTTTACTGGGAAAGCTCTGAGCATTAATGAAAGTCCCGACAATAATTCCCAGCAAGCC